CCCCCCCCCCTCCTCTGCTTTTCCTTTCCTTTTTTTTGACCCTGCATAATCTATCCATTTACCTATCTGTCCACTTACGTATTTGCCCAACAATCCCACCTGACCAGTACCGCTACTATTAGTAGTCAAACTTCCTTTTTTTTTTTTTTTTTCGTTCATATGTAACCATTTTTGAACGAAAAAAAAAAAAAAACTGAAACTTCAAAACAGACAGTAATGCTGAAGACAACTGTAGCTGGAGGAGTTGCAGTAGCAACAGCAGCAACAGCGAGTGCAATGAAAAAAAAGAAAAAAAAAAAAACTGAAACCACAAAAATCATAGCCACTGTTACAACAACTCTTTGATATCAACTAAGTACAAAATTGGAAAAAAAAGATGCCGTAACTTACTTACTAGACTCGTTAATGCTCAAATAAATAATAACAGAAAGTAAAAATCACTGGAAAAAAAAAAAATCTAAGAAAAAAAATCAATTAAAGAAACTTTTTTTTTTTTTCTCTTTCAATACATTGTTTTTTAATTTCATATAAGAAATACCTTTACAAACGACAATTAGCAGATTTTTTTGTTCTTCACATTTACTATGTCACATTTTTCGATTTGGGGACAACCGCACTCGTCACGTTCCTTCGAAATGGGCGGGGTTTACCTAGTCAACAGACTCCGCCTCTTCTTGTAGTTCGTTTTCCATGCTTCCTTTCCTTTTTTTTCCATCCCTAAAAGTTTCATTCTCACACGCGCACACACACTTACATACACATACAAATACATCACAACAGCGTTTATGCGTATACATAAAGCTTTTGCCATAGAAAGAAAAAAAAAAAAGAAAAGGAAGAAAAAAACTAGATTCTTTATATTTATCTGGTGAACTGTAACAACGTTGTGAAAACAGTTTGTAAAAAAATTTATCGAATTTGAGCAGACTGAAAAAAAAAAAAAGAGGGGGAAAAGACAAAGGAAAAAACTGCGCAAACCACTAAATTACACTCACGCTTTTTAATGGCAACAAATTTCAGAATGTTTTATTTGAAGAACTGCAGAAAAAAAAAAAAAAAAAAAGAGATTGAAGAACTCATTTAAACAAAGAATTTTCTTCTCTCAAATTCTCTTCCTTTTCTAGCTGCATTTCTATTCGTTTCAGTAACTTAAATGAATCTCAGAAGCATTAATCTCAACGCCTACTTTCAGGCTTAAAAGGTGAAGAAGGGTTAAAAGTGACAGAGCAAACGAAAGAAGCAATAAATACGCAACGCACTCGGAGACAGGCGGGGCTTTGACGTGTATGACTCCGCCCACTGGTGGATACATTCAGATGGCAAGCTTATCAACGCAAAAAACTTTTATCGGCCAATTTTCTGTGCGCGAAAATTGTTAGAACATCATAAGAGAAGATGAGATAAAAAGTGCTGGAAAGTACAGAAACATGAAAAAGAACTTAAAAAAAATAAATTTATACAGAAGGTGATTAAATGAAGGAAAGTGGAAATTTGCTACAACTAAGAACAAAGTAAAAAAAAAGAAAAAAAACACTGATAAGTGTGAAACATAACCACAGAGAAGAAACAAATACGAGGTGACCCTGAATAACGAAGGAGCTACTTTTTAATCAGTCAATGTTCTCACTTCGGCCTTTGGCTACTAGTTTCACAAGTGCACTAATGACTATTAACTGTTGACGACACGTTGCCGAAATTGCTCCAACACTTAACAGATAATCCTTTTGGTTTTCAAGTCGAAAGTGTGTTTAGTGTAAACGCCAGTGACAAAATGATGACGAAAAAGATATGGGAGGGAGAGATCACTGTTCGTATTTTTTTCTGCTTTATTAGCCAAATTTTTGAAAAGTCAAAGTTGGCGTCTTTTCTTTTTAAAATGAATCGTTCACGTCAACAGAAATTGGAAATACATATGAAAGGGCAGCTTGCATTTTATGTAGGTGAGTCCATTTTGATGCAAAAATTGTCCGTGAAAAAAGCTACATCACCAAAACACTAGGCACTAAATGGAGTTCTTTCAAATAGGCTACCGTAATTTGGAAAATTTTTTCTTTGGCCATGAAAAGTAAAAAGTCATGTGCTAAGGAATGTATAACTGCACAAGTTAATAGTTGTAAACGCGCTGAACATGACTTTGCAAACAAAAAAGAGAACAAAAAAAAAAAAAACATTGCGCAAAATTTGCAGATTTAATGGCAAAGGATTTGTAGCTGAAAAAAGGCTTTAATTATCGGTGATACGGTAACTGTGTTCTGTTCAAACTAATCTCCTTGAAAGTAAATAATATCAAAAGAATTAGCGAGAAAGCCTGCAAACTGCCTATCAAAATGACTGTTGTTTTAAAGTAAA